GCGAGTTTTCCGGTGATGAGCGACGGCGAGAAGACGTGAAACTCGGTCCCACCAACCATACCCAAGCTGCCAAAGACACGTCGACAAGTCCCGACAAAGACGACTTACCGATGGATCGGATGCGCCGTGCATTTGGACGCAATGATTATTTATTGCCGGAGAATTTCAAAACACTACGTCGTTCCGACATTCCGGTCACATATCGTCTACATGACGATCTGTTGCGCTACTATAGGTGAGTGATGAAACTGATTGCCCATTTCCTGACTTGAGGGCAGTCTCTATAAGATTGACTAGGTAGGTCATTAGTCCCGGGATCAGCTGGAAATGAGCTCTGCTCAGCGAAGTCCCCTCAAGATTCACTGCGATCAGTTTTGAAGTGGCTCCGCTGCTCGTCACGTTTCGTAATCTCTGCTCCTATCGAACTCACTGGCCAAAATGCCTATTTGAATGGAGACAGAAATGAAAATTGGTTTTTAAGGCTATGCTGTCCAGCCACACTTGGATAGACCAAGTGACGGATGGCATCGCATTCGAGCGAACCTCTCCGGGGATCCACGACCCTTTCAACATGAAGCTATGCCTCACATCTTACTATAAAAGCGGCAAACGTACCACTAAAAATCCACTTTCTCATTCTTAGACTCACCAGAAAGGTCTGCCATGCCTCATTCTCATAAGGAAGTGTTGCATTCCCTGAGAGTGCTTGTGTATAGCTGCTGCAGAGCGGGAAGCTGCTGCTTTCTGCTAGCTTGTTGCTTTGTGTCTTCTGTGACTTCCACAGCCAACAACTTATTAGGGGCAATTTCCGGTGGATCGGGGTGTTTCTGTTGTTGCCCGTGTCGTGACGGGAAGAAATTCGATTCTAGTGCGGCCAATTGTCTCAGGAAAGGAAGTGCAGCACTAGCGCTGGGTTGTCTCCTAGCGACTTCTAAGCCATTAACCTTTCAGCGATATTTACCGCGCTTTCCTAGCAATTGAGATTTCCGTCTCCATAGCACGAATTAGCTGAAATACGCTTTTCTGAAGGATGAATTCGTTCACATACCTAAACGGTATAAGTAAACCTAAACCCGCCCATACTCGCTTTTCCTCCAATAAGAACTCCGAAAATGTATCCCAAAGAGGAGATTTCAAGTGGTAAGGGCGTCCCGTCATAGCTTTGTCTCGGCGCGAATTCCCTCGTGTGATCGCGCGCGTCAAGATTTTCATCGAGTCTCGTCAATGGGTTGAACTGGATGGAATATGACGGCGCGGAGCTCCAGCGCTAAGTGCGCGGCGAATCGGGGCGAAGGTGGTCCATTCCACGAACAGAAGGTGTGTGTTCCCTAGATGTTGTCAGAAGAACGAACGCTCCTGGTATCCCTATGAAATGTAATTTGCATCGGCTTCTAGTCTATGCAGAAGTGTTGCAAATGGGTCCATTTTTCAATCCCTGGGGATGCGCGAAAGACGCCAGGCTGCTTTCTTCGAAGCTTCTCGCGCCACTCGAATCTTACCGATAAAAGTGTTTGTCATCGCGAACACATACTCTACGAAAAGCCATTCCGAAGGGATTAATTGGCCCCTGAAGGGAGCGCTTTTCGAAAATTGCACAGGGGGAAACGGTAAAAGGTGAATAGAGCTATTGGTATTGACCAGTCCTGCTGGGATACGCCATGCGTATCGCCTTTGCTTTGAAATCATATAAAATGAGCCGCGGAGCTGATGAGGCTTATTCTGCTGTTTTTCACCCCTCCAAAAACTTGGCGCCACCCCTCGATGGGAAACCACGACGAGGTTCCCGTAAAAACCTCGAGTTCCACTTGGTCCTGAATGGAAAAGGGTTGTTCTGCAGGATTGATGTTGATTGCCGAAAGAAGAGCTTCTTTCTGAGAAAATTTTTGAAATCAACAAGATTTTCAATGCGCCTGTTTAATGGACCTCAATCCCCCCACCCTACTCGATTGACGGCCTTTTTGAGGGCGAGGAGGATAGTGGAAGGGAAGGTAGGGTATTCAAGGAGAGTGGAGGGGCTAGGTCAATCATAGCGTCGAAGGAGATTTTCTTATATTATTTGGCCTCTCTCCTATCCAACATCCCCTTCGATTCCAACCTGCTCACCCTCCACCCCTCCCCTCCGCCCCC